GTACGCGTATTATTAATAGACAATGCTCAACAACAGCAACAACAACAAATGAGATACGTAAACGACAAGTACTAATTAATCTGTTCTTAGAATGTGAAAACTTAAGCGAAAGCGCTCCCAAATCGGACGATCGACAGAAGTCGACGAATCAAACGGGCAAAGTTAGAAAGAAGAAAGGGACGGAGGGGTGTGAATCGAATAGAACAGAACTTTAAAGATGAACGATGAGAGAAGAGAGAAAGAAAAAAGGCAACGTTGTGCAAATTGTTGATTTTACACGAGCGTGGGAGAGCATGAGAAAAGAAAAGGCATTTTTATCGCGTCTAACGTTGAATCCTCGAGATACAAGAACGAAAATATGAGTCGAAACGAGAACTGTGAAGAGAGTACGCCCAATTTTGGAAGCTATTACAGCGAGAAAGGTAAAAGACAGCTAAAGCGGAAAAGTATCTTCTTAGAGACGTAGAGACAGAAGAGACATGTTTCGTGTGTAGAGGCGAGAAAACGTGAAAATTCGAAACGAGTATGAGTGATATTTTCTTTAGTTTTTTGTTTGTTTTTAGTAGCCAGAAAGCTCAGAGAATGTCTTGTCCAATTCTTCGCAAATCGTTTTGCGTTTCTCCTTCTGCTGGTGCAATACGTCTGTAAAGAAAAGCAGTTGTGTTGCACGATGAAGTGTCGCTCATTAACGCGGATATCTATTTAACGAACACTACCTTCGCAATCTCTGTAACTATAAAGCAATTATTACCGAGTAAAGAAGAGTGGATATTTTCTTTTAAATCGGTCTCGTCAAATATCCTCGGTCCACGAATCCAGAATGAACGTTAAATGAAAAAAAAAAAATGAAGAAAAATAACTAATTGTTTCGCGACGTGTGCAGCATTTCGTTCCGTTTTATCTTTTTTGCTCGAGGTTGGCAAATTGACCACGAAGCTTCGATTCCATTCCAGTAGCGAGCCGGTTAACAGAATCCTCGTTGTCATTTTGCCAGATTACGTCACAGAGTCGTTTAAATTCGCTGAAAATTACTGCGAGACGATGTCTGCGGCGACAAGATTTTTCGCAAAAACGAGAGAGAAGCTAAATCCATCCGTTATTCGTGAGAAAAGTGTTAGAAGGAAGTAGTTGGAAAATTGCAAGCTCACCCTCGAGCCTGTCGACCTCCTTCTGGAGCTTCTTGACAGTTTTCTCAGCGAACTCGGCACGAGCTTCCGCTTCCTTCAGCTTCACCGTCAAAGTTTTCAGTTGGCGCTTGAATTCCTCGACTCTTTGGTTAGCCTGAACACGAATCGAACACGTGAAAACTCACCTTCGAATAAAGAAACTCGCTAAAAATAAAACGCTAACCTTCTCCTCGGACACTTCCAGAGATTTCAAGCTGTTACCGACGACCTTAAGTTCTTCCTCAAGCTCCATAATCTTCCTATAAACCATTTCTCCAAATGTATAAAATTATCCTTCGGTAAAAAAAAAGAAGAAGAGATAGAGAAACTCACGCTTCACCAGACTTGACTCGATCTTCAGCGACTTCCAGCTCGTCTTCAACGAAGGCCAGCTTTCTTGACACTTCGTCAGATTTCCCGTCAGCATCCTCAGCGAGAAGACGCGCCTCCTTCAACTGATTCGTCAGCTGATCCATCCTCTCTTCATCCTGCTGTGCACGATTCTCCAATACTTTGCACATACTGCAAAATTTCGTTCAATTAACATAAAACACCGTCGTTCTCCGTTTATTCCTTCAATTTCCTCCTGACATATTTACCGGCTGGATTCATCAGCAGCCTGAGAAGCCTCGGCCAACTTGGCTGTCGCGGTGTTCAATCTCTCCTCGGATCTTTCCAAATCCTCCTCGATCAGCTGCACCTTCCGGTTCAATGCGGCTACCTCGGATTCAGCCTGAAATTAGAAACATCTGCGTGACTCGTTGACCTCTCGCCGATTTAAAAAGAAAGTGGAAACCGGGGCGAAACACCACTCACAATGACTCATAGATCTTAAAACGAGGAAAGAGCGAGAGGGGGGGGGGGGGGGGGGGGGGGTAGGGAGGATCATGGTAAATATAAACGAAAAGCTCCCGGTGAAAAAATTAGCTTGGTCGCGAGCCAAGATAAACTGGAGCAATGACAGGCTGGAGTGTGAGATCTACTCACGTTGGTCAGAGCTTTCTCTTTCTCCTCGAGGTCCTTGTTGGCCTGATCCAGGGCTTGTTTGTTAGCCTGAAGATCGCCCTCAACTTGGGTCAGCTTCTTCTGCAATTCGCTGACCTCCTCGAACACTTTGTCCGCGCGCATATTCGCCTCCTTCGCCTGCCCCTCGCAGGCATCAGCCTTGTCCATCGCATTGTCCTTCTCAAGCTTCATCGCTTGCATCTTCTTCTTGATCGCGTCCATGGTGGCGGCCTTTTTCTTTCGCCGGCTTCCTTTGAGAAACTATCGAGTTGGCTGCAATTGTCCATTCCCGTGTTACTTAGAAATTCCACGAACGTCAGCTCGATTGCTCGCCTTTCGTTAGGTGTTAGAAGCTCGGCGATGTTGCGGAGGGTAGGTAGAACAGCGTAACGAATAGTTCTCTCAAGCGGTGTTAGTGAAATTTTCATTTTCAACGAAGCTTCCAAGTGTCTCTTATTTCGTACAGAGTGTACTGATCTCGAATTTTTGAAATACCGAATACCTCTGAGTTGGTATTAAGACTGGTCCTACATTCCCTCCTATATAGGGGCGAACTTTCAAAGTGTCCAGTCGAAACTGATCATTGCCATAATCTATAGAGTAATATTGTTTGAAGCATTGGAAAGCTAGATGAAATGATAATCCACCCTTTGTCGACGGAATAAACACCAAGTGTCGCGAAGAAAAGAGGCGATTCTCGAAGAAAACTCGAATATCCGTTGCACAGATGCGAAAGGTTCGGCAGACGAGCCTCGTCGGCGTGTTTTAACCCTGAAAATAGACGAAGCGTGGACGCGGATAAAGGGGGAGGCTTGCATATTTCCACGATCCCCGTGAGTTCTGCGAGTCATAATCCGGCTGCGGATGATACAGTCGAACGAGGAGGAGCGCGAGGCATATCGGTGCGTCTACGGAAATAGCATCCATAGGCAGGCTCTATAAATATGCGCGGGAACTGCGAAGACAGAGAGAGAGAGAGAGAGGGAGAGAGATACAGCGAGAAGACGGCCGTTCAGTGAGACGAAAACGCACGAACGTAACCCAGAAGAACGGGCTTTACTTGGCCGCCACCAACGACCGACATTCGATCTAACTGCCGCGTATTAATAGCATTTACGAAATCATCGTCGTCACCTCGCGATTCCCTTCGATCCTATTATAATTCGCTTCTCGAGAATTGATCAACCGTGAAAAAACATTGATTTTACGTATCCTTCTCTCCTCTGTAAAATCGTTGAAAATACAACGAAGCTTTGTCGTACACGAATTTGATCGACAGATGACGTTCGTGATGCTCGTTGGAAAAAAAACATAGTTCTCGGAGGATTTGGTTGATCTATTTCACGGTCATCGTGGAATGCAAACAATATAGGGTTACAGAGGCACCGAAATATCCCGATTCATTAAATCGATCGTTCGGTAGGCTGAATGGCAACGTTCGACCCTCTTTACGTTTATTAATAGCACCTGGAAGCTTTTCGCATCTGGTTACTCCCCGCGAGTGCCAAAATGACATCGGACAACAATTCTTAGTGTTATTTAATTCTCTCGTGCAGAGGCGTTTGTGTCAGATTAGTCGGATATTTTCTGCTGTTTAAAGTTTACTTGGGAATATTTTTACCACGAATACTACTTACTGCATTGCAAGCCTCCAAAAAAGCAAATTCTCGCAGCCGTTTTAAGCAGAGCTGTTATTTAATTGGCTGGCGGTTAAGAGAATGTGTCGCGAGAGAAGCGTTCCAGTTCTTCCTGCAAGCATTCAAATCACCACTGTGCTTCCGTTTACTATAGATAGCCCGGTGCTTGTCATTAGCAGAAATTGATCGTGTTTTATTCGTTTTACTCTCTTTTCTCGAATACTCGGTTCGTAGAGTTCGGTGTGTTGAACGTTAGAGGTTGAAAATAGCACGCGTAAACGGAACGATTCGATGATGGCAACCGGTTTATTTTTGCCGCGAAGTGGACCACGATATTACCGCGAAATTTTATTGTGAAATCTCACCAGGAAAATTTAGAGTAGCTTTCATCTTGGGCTTGTGAACGATTGAAAGAAACAAATTTGTGTTAATGCTAAGCGGTGTTACAGGATTAATGCTACTTACAAGCATTGCCAAAGCGTTTTAGGAGATTCTCTGAAAGCTTCAAGCTCCTCGAAGCCAAATCTGGTAGTAGCACTGTGTCTCGTTGAGAAAAACCAACGATTCCAAGTTAGTTAGTCGGCGAAGCAGCTCCATTAGTAGCGTGATAATTAAGCAAACGACAGTCTCTTCTTTCACGCAGTTCCATCGACGAAGATTCGAGCTTCTTCAACATCCTGAGCGTGTCCATCAGTGAAAATCCAAGCACACCTTCATCCACATCCTTTCTTTCCTTCTTTCACACTCGCGTACGCGATCACAGATTCTTTTCTCCCCCATTTTCTGTTTTTTTTTTCTTCTTTCCTTTCTACTTCTTTTTTTCTTTCTATCTCTCAATAACGCGCTGATCGATAGACGAAGCGTAGGGAACAGCCATAGAATAGAAGAGAAAAAGCGAACTGTTCGTGATGATTCACTTACCTAACCCGAACGAGCAGAGTGGCACGAGTCGAGTGTCCCAAGGGTGCTTCGAAAAGCTTCTTCGACGACGTGAACCGCGGCACACCGAGCGAAGCCGAAGGTGGGGAGCCCAAAAATGGACCGCCACGGAAAGTTCTACGGGGGTGGGGCCCTGCACGTTTATTTTCTGCTTCGCGTCTTCTCGAAAATCTTTCTCTCACCTTCCAATTGGGAAACACTGCTGGAACCAGCGATCTCCGCGTTTATCCATCGATTACACATTCCAATGTTATCGCCAATCGGGACCATTCGAACATGTCTGATCCTTCTAATTGTACAGTCTCTCTTGGCACGCGATCAAATTTTATTTTACATAATTCTGACTCGTAACTCTGACTGGCAAAATATACTACTATATGGAATAATGCTTTTTAAAATTACGTCTTTTTCTTTACTCTTTGCCTTGTAATAACCAGTCTTTTCATTTGATACACTTCTAAGAGGGATAATCGTTGAAAAATGACAAGATAAAGGATTAATCGAACATTTGAATTTTCGTTAATTTAGTTGATAGTTTATGAATATTATTTAATTCAGTCTCCTCGTTTGTAACTATTCGATTAATCGTTAGGTGTATTGGATGGATAATCAAACTAAATTTATTAAACACTAACATGACATTCCTCTCGTAGAAAGCAACACCGATCACTGAGAACGAGACGAAAGCACGTGATACAGGTTCTTCCATGATCCGACCGTGGCCCAGCTATATTCAAGTGTTTTTCAGCACGTTGTATATCGAATACGAGCTTTTAACTAGCTACAATCAGACCATTAGAAACAACAAACGTTTAGCACAGTGGTTAGATATATCCAGCCTTGAAAAGTGTAAATATAGTGTTCTACTGACGACCACGAAGAAGTCGATGTTCACCGTGATCACATGAACGCTCTCGAATAAAATCGGCGATCGTGTTCTCGTCATCGCGAATAAAATGATCTTCCTCCCTTTCTCGCTCAATCCCGTCCAATCTACGTGAAACATCACGTCTGCCAGATCTACGCTCTGAAATATCATCGACGAAAAGGATTCCATCAAATCTCCATCGATCTTTTTCTATTCGATCGATAAAAACATCCTCGAATAGCGAACCTTCGTTCTCACTTCGTTTCCGTACCAACAGTAAAGAAAGCTCTGCAGCAGTATCGAGCTCAGATAAAATATCGTCGCTAAGAATTCGGTGCTGAGAATATCTGCGTTTAACAACTGAATCAGGCTCAGGCAGATCACCATAAAGCTTCCGAAAAACTGGGCGAACATCGTCAGCTGTAGACTGTCGTTCATTATTTCAGCTAAACTGCAACAGAATCGTTATCTCTTCGTTTTCTCGCGCAAGTTCGATCCCGAAACACAGCGATCTCGTCGAATTACCGGTAAATTCTGTCGTGATGACGAATGCATCTTCGTAAAACACCCTTGTTCTCCGACGTTATGCTACTGAAACGAGAGAAGAGAATGTCGAATTGACAGCACAGTTGCATCAACAGTCCGAAGAAGAGAATATCCACTGAAACGTGGATCCAGGAATATACGAGCACGCATAATAGCTGCAGAGCGTATGTCAATGGAAAAAGTACGGCGGTCGTGTAATCGTAAGGGAACCAGCCTCTGTAGGTTAGTCTGCCGTGTTGAAAGTTGGTCACTAACGAGTTTAAAATAGTCGAGGCGACCGACATCTCGACTACCATTGTGTATCTGACAGCGTTTTTCCTGTCGAGATAATTCCCTGTCAGCGTGAATTTCTAACGAAAAGGAAACAACAAATTGAAGAATCTCTTCGTACTGACCGTAATTGATCGTCGTATCTCGCTTGCACCTGGTCCTCCTCCTTGTTCGAACATGCACAAGGATCCTCCATGAAGATGTTCATCAGGTCTATGATATCTTTCCGATAGAACACCACGTTTGACAGCTTGCAACAACCGACGAACACGGAGACGCATATGTAAGTAAGGTCGACGAAATCTTGTACGGTTTCTATGGTGAACATGCTGCCAAATTGCGAAACCATGAAATTAACACCCATGATTAATACGAGAACGGTGTAGACATTGTAGATTGCCGTTTTGTACGTCGAAGACCACGAGATCGGTCTCCAACAGCCACCGATACTGAGAAATGTAAAAAGTACCGATACTTTCATCTTCTTCTTTTTTCCTTTCATAGTTTTATGCTTAAGGGGAGAACGTATAGAAACTTAACGATTACCGTGTACAGTGCAACGGTGACAATCTTGGGGACGTTTATTCTTTGATGTCTCGTGAACGTTTGAGGGGGATTCTTTATACAGCTCATTATCAATGCACCCCGTTTCGCCATGTTGTTCGATAACGTTGCCTCTATTCCTGAAACGACTTGTAATTGGATAGGAAAAATACCTAAAGTGTATGAAATCAATATTATTTTCGTAGAGCGATCTTTTTTCTCGCGGAATGTAATAGAGACGTTATTTTCTTCTTAGTTTTTTTGCACACGAGACCGGAGTCTCTCAGTTCGCGATAAAGTTTAGATTACAGAGCGTGCGCGATTTTACAGCGATGGAAAATGTGAAATGCTAATTTCTCGTGATGAACGTATGCGTCATTTATTTTTCACTCGTGTTCGTGACGGATACAACGATGATTGTGCTGCGTATATTATGCTGAACAATGAAAAGGATACACGAACATTCCAACGATAGTTATAAAAAAGGTATTACAATTATCGAGAGCCAGTATTGCAAATGTGTTATTTGTTTGTAGAATTTGTCAAGAGGTTGTACGACGAATACGTTATCTTCATGATCTGAAATTTGTATTAATATCCTTTCGAGTCGATGCAATCTTTGATAACCAAGATTTTCGGAAATTCTACTAACAGACATAAATGATTCTGCGGATAAAACGACGACGTGGCCGCTTGTCATTTTAACAGGTCGTTTTGATCTCGCCATGATCAGCAATAGATCTTTCCTTATATCGGTGGGAAGTGCCGTCCAGTCCATCTCGTAAATAGCTTCGCCTACTTTTTCGCTCTGGGAATGTTACGTGAATTAAAATACAACCTCTAACGTGTCGATCATCTTCGTAGGGTGAAGATGAAAAGTTGGTGAGTAAACACGATTAATATTTTTCATCATTGGAAAGCTTTCGTTCGGTGCTAACGCACTCGAGGAAACACGGTGCCAACCTTCAACGTCACCTCGTTCCCGAACCAACAGTATAAATACACCTGCGTGAGCATACAGCATAAATAGGAGGCGCACCAGACGAAGTTCATGCTAAATGGATTAATCGTCGACATTTTATAGATGCTCAAACACAGCACCGTCGAACTGATGGAAAATTGCAGGAAAATCATGTACTGGAACACAGTGTTCACCGTCTGTGTAAATCTACAAATGAAATTTCCCACGGGAAAAAGAGCAAATTGTTCAAATATCTGAAACTTGGAAGAAATGATCTGTTTTTCTTTTGTTTACTTGTAAACTTCCAGATGATATTCCACGAAATTTCCAAGTATTCGATTACATCTGGTCTTAAAAGCTTCTCTAGACTCGCTGTTTCTTCTGGTATCCAAGAGTAGGGCGGTTAGATTTCTCGCTCGATGGCAAAATATCTCGAATTGCGCGCCAGCTTGTATCATCAGCCCTGCGATAAGTGTTTCGTTTGCCACGCTGGTGTTCGCACAGACCATCAGGCCTATCGTTTGATGCAACAGAGATATCGTGTACAATTTTTGCGAGGACAAATCGTAAGGCACCCAGTCGGATATTGGCAAAGTCTTGGAGCGTATGAATTCGTTGTACTGTGCTACCGTAGCTAAGAATGCGGCGGATTCGTTCAGGATCTCGCAGTAGATTGTCAGTTTTCTGGAAGAAACTTGCAAGTAATTGCTAAAATAGAGCGAGGAGAAAATTTGGAGAAAAATCTCCTGAAAATCCTGCGTTAGAGTAATTAACAACGATTAAGTAACGAATGATAAGAACAGAATTGAAAGCAGAATTGTTTCTTTAACACGTTCACCACTGAATTTACAAGAGTACCTTGAAAAACAGAGAAACGTTATTATTTATCGAACCATTCAAGTTTCGTCTGAATGAATCATTTCATTTAAAGATTCGCAGTGAACGTGTTAAATGGACAGCAAATTTTCTAATATTGTTCTTTTTTTATCTGAAAGAAGACCTCGCGTAATTATCGTTCTTCCGTTGTATTATCTTTTCTTGCTCGTCCCTCGGGATGCAATTCTCCGTCAGCAAAATGTTCATCACGTTTATAATCCTCCCCCGTTGAAGGAATAAATTGGCTACTTTCAGAGAGACACCGAACACAGAGATGAACAGAGAAAACTTATCTGTCATCGTCTTGAGATCTTTGCTGATCAACGAGTCTATGCATGCGCAAAACGTGAAAAAATAGAGCAAAAAGACCATAAACACCGAGTAAACGTCGTACAGCCAGTATTTCAGCGAACTAGCTGGCCATTTTGTCGGTTTCCAGTAGCCGCAGCAAGTAAGCAGAGCGAAAGGCAAAGGAAGCCTATGCATTCTCTTTACTTTCCTCACTTTGTAAACTCAGTTGAAAAATGTTCAACTGGAAAAACTTGCGTAAAAATTTCGTACACTAAAACACGAATTATCAATCGTTTGAAAAAGCTTGTTAGAAAAATTCAAGGAACTTGAGTTGGAAGAAGAGACACACGGAGTCACGTAAAAAGCTTAAAAGCTTCGCTCGACTGTCAGCTTTCGTTTCTAACGATTTTCCCTTTCGACAGATGTATTATAATTGTTGTCAAATCCCCCGCCCCTCTCCTGCGCGGCGTTCATAATATAGAAAGGATAATTATTTCCTGACAGGTAACTATATCGTTCAGGTTCTAGAGTTTCATCGCTGACTGTCGACGATTTGATTGGCCGGAAAATCGTTACGTGTCTTCTTTTCCACTTTTTTTCCTCTTCTTTCTTCTTCTCCATTTCCGTAAACGAAGCAATGCAACAACCATGAGTTGCGTGATTGAAACGCCAAGTCCTACAAATAAAGAAGGGTCGAATTTCTATCAATGACTCATGCACTATTACCAGTCCCCCTCCACGAAAATTAATAAACAATAAACTGTGGAATAGAAGGAGCTCTCAGTACGCTACAATCTGCCACAGCGGACGGAAGGGATTGATCGACGAACAGGTTTCGACTTCGGACTGTTTTTGTAAGTATTAATCTGAAAGAGACATTTTTGTTTTTCGTATTAGAAATTCTTTGAGGAAGATAACAGAAGTGTTTAGAGCAGCTTGACGTACTTTAACGAGAGACAACTCTCAAATATTCCTGTATCATGCAAAAAAAATACGAAATGTTGAGATAGAAGTATCGATTTTGCTAGTTTTTTCGGTTAAAAAAATCTTTCGAGAGACCAAATAGTAAGATTCTCAGTTAAGCTAAGTGGTTGGAAAAGGACCAGAAAATTTATTTCGAAGCGGTTCGATTCGTCGACGAACCGAGTAACACTTTCTAATTTTGAGTGTGTACACCTGAAGAATTTTCTGGCACTTGGACCAGTGTAATTCGATTGAGAAATTGGAATGTCAGGTTCCTCGATGCTTCGTTAGTCCTGTACTCAAACAATTTCGTACAAATCTAAGAATAAATCAACCGTCAAATTATCCCTGTCAGATTTCAGGCGATTCTTCAGCATTTTTCTATTTATTCCATTTTTACTCTACCGAATTTCCTGTAGTTTTAAAAAATTCGTTAACAGTTCGTTTTGAAATAAAACGTTTCGTTATATTTCAACGAGGACTAAATATACAAAGGAAAAAAAAAACAATATTTCTTTATACTGACAATCTCGAGTCTTCCGCTGTCGCCTCTATTTCATTTGATTGGCTAAATATTGGTTTCCATAAGTTCGTGCTGAAAGCGAATAATATTTTAATGACTTAATACCATTGTTAGTGTTATTTTTCATTCTCGTTGCAAGTAGACACGTATTTATAACGTACTTTGTAATTCTACAATGCACGAGAAAGAGAGAAAGAAACGCGAAGAATGAAGGGAGAGACGGGAAGAATTCTAGGAAAACTACATTGGGAGCAGTTTCAATTACGCTTTATTACAGTTTACTCACGGGTAATCCTGTGAGCGCGTGCCTAACATTTTCAGCAAATTTTGGACCGGTGAATCTTCTACGGAGTGTGTGGTCGATTACGTTTGCTGGATTACGTTGAATACCGAATAGGAAGTTTTCACCAACTGCGATTGATATGAAAATAGAGAAGAAAATGACAAGATACGGAACGAATGTGGACTGCCAGTATATTATTGTTCGCGATAGATTTTATTTGGAAGATTGTTACTTTGTATTGGACGCGTAAAACGTGCGCTAAGAAAAATATATATATTTTGATACAAACACTTTTAAAAGACTCCAAATTTACGGGGAAAACGAAAGCGCCGGTGAATTCTATTGGCTTCAACGAGCGTAACATAATCGTCAGGAGTGTCTTTTTGGTGCTCTGGCTCAGTGCCGTCCAGTTGCTTTCGAATACTGTGTCGCAAATTTCAAGGCTCTACGAGAATCAACATTACGTAGAAACAGAAACGAGAGGAAAATTGAGAATAAGAAGTCTGTTTGATCACGTACCTTCACTTTGGTCTCGTTTCCATACCAGCAACAATAAAATATCTGTGCGAACACACTGACCATGAACGGTATCAATGCTAAAACTTGCGAATACACCTTGGTCTGTGTCAGTCGAAAGAGGTTGAAGCACATTGTCATAGTGGTCACCAGAAATTGCGTGGCCATCGTGATGCTGAACTTCGCGTTTATAATTTCAGCGAATCTGAAATCATTCCAGACTACGTGCCCCTTTTTCGCATACATATCGTCACATAATTGCACTCTTTAAAACGTCAATTTTCACGTGTAACATAAACGAGCCACTTTAATCGTGCAGAAAAAAAATCCATCGTTTCCTCCGTTATCTATAACCCCTTGCCGTATAAAAACGAGTCAGACTCGTGCCCTGATCAGATAAAAACAGCTATCTCGGTAAGAAAAATTAATTTTAATTCCAATTTTCGATTTAATTTCAAAAACTGAAAATTCGCAAATTTAATTAGCTTTTCTTACTTAACGGTAAACGAAGAAAAAAAAAATAGTAGACAAACTTGTATATGCGATAATGATGAAAAGCACACTGTTTCGCAGAGTACTCCCTGTCAGGTTTAATGCTCTTCAGACGATGTTGGAGTATCTCGAATTGGCAATAAATGTGGATCAACAGTCCGCTGAATAGATTGTCAGAACCGATAATAGCAGAAGTAAGGAATATCAGAGTTACAAACTGATAAGCGTAGGTAAGGCTGAAAATACCCAATGTGGCTCTATAATCGAAAGGTTAACCATCCTCGAAGGGGTAACTCTCTGATCTTAAAAGCCGTGAAGATCGACGAGAACCATATACAGTAAATTCTCTACAAGAGTCAGTAAGTTTGGATTCTACAAGTGACAGTATAAATGGTCCTACACCTAGGCCTGCGTCATTGCTGCGCCCATGTTATCACGCTCGCAGTCAGTCAAGCGTGTAACGCTACACCAGTCGGTTTCCTTTACGAGATTTCACGGCTCGACAAATCATAATAAAAAAATATAATTTCTTTAATTTTACTTTTTTTTTCATCTGGAATTTATTTAACATCATGTTGGTGAGATTTTTCTGATGAAAATGATATCAAACACGATATAATTTGAACAACATTTACTTATTAACACGTTCACTGTCGCGCCAGATTTACAGGTTGCTGTCAGGCGGCCACAAGAAAATACATTTTAAGGATAGGGTTATAGTATTATGCTTTATAATTTTTTTTTTTCAATTGAAAATAATGTCTAGCTAGCTATGACGTTCAAAATTTTTAGTTGACAAGATTTATTTTATTTTAATTATTCTAACCATTTGAGGCACTCCAGTCACTGATGACCACCAGCCATATCGAGGAAACAATCTAACACGTTAAAACTTATTGAGTGATTAATTTAATTTCATAATGTATCGCTTTAGCGAGCCATCGTTTGGCTACCAATTGTTTATCACATAGAGTCGGCCTACCTCCACGTAAAAAAAAAGAAAAAAATGTAGGGTCGATTCCACAAGTGACAGTAAAATGTAGGGTCGATAGCAGCAGAAAAGCTGCTAAACAATTAGAATTAAATGTAACGATAGAAATTATTGCAATAGTGCGTAATGCAATTGAAAAATCGCAGAAAAGTCTGATACAAATGTTTGAAAAGTAAAATATATAAGATGAGATACAGTATCTTACCACGTAATGTAACTTTTTATTGTGTAACATATTAAAAACACTGTTTGGGAAAAATTTGTCACAGAATTGCATTTCTTATTTAATCTTCCTTTACTGCTACTTCTTGTGAAATTTTATGCCAGAAAATTGAAGAAATTCTTCTTTGTGTTTCGTAGGCAATTGATTGCTAATTTGCTATTGACAGATCGATGTTAAAATTTGATGTTAAATGGTATATGGTATATAAATGGTATAATTTTCAAGGTATTTTATTAAGAAACGGGCACATAGTGTTCAGTTTTCTATCTTAGAATTAACTTGCTTTATCTTACGAACTACTTAATGTTCAAACTTTCAACTGTGTGTGAGAGTGTCAGAGTGTCGACGGGTACGCGTAGTTCTTAGCTTGGTATCCTTTTGCAAAAGTGAGAATTTTCTTTGGAAAAGGATACCAATTACCAGGTCCCACCACGAGGAGGTGACTACGCAAGGGACCCGACAAAAACACATGCCCTACTGGCAGCTCTCTATCTTCAGAGACACGCGTTTCTCATTTGTAGCAAAAGGAATTTTATCGAAAATTCTTAATGGGACAAATTCGCGAAAGAACCAACGAGCGTACACGACGTAATTATTCTAAGAATATCGCGCGCTATTCGTAGACAAGTACGTCGTGAAAAAGCTCGAAGGAACTGAGCGATCGAGAATTGATACTCGCGAGAAAATTATTATTCTATGGTCAGTATCGACGATAGTAAAAATGCAGAAGGTAATTTGTTAATTATAGAAATGAGTCGCGTGTCTCTGTAAGAAAGCGCTCACATGGTATTCGGTACAATTTTCTATCTTAGAATTACTTATTTTATTTTACGAACTAGTTAAAATTAAAACGCACGCATCCCACGACGTGTAAAATATCTTCCAACTTATTTTATCTTATGAATTACTTAAAGTTAAGATTCGCTTGGTTCACATTCTCATACTTTACAGTGGCTTATTTTATAATACACGCGTATGGCACTCTGTACAATTTTCTATACATTCTTCATACAGAAATTTAGATTAAAATTAGTAGGGAAGGGAAATATCTGAAAAGAATAATTTTTAATATATTAATTAAATAGAAGGAATTTATTTGCAAGTCAAATTTACAGTTCTAAACTGGAGAATTCGTCGAAGTATATAATTTCTCGATTTCTAATGATTTTTGGGGTATTAAAGCAAGTATGTTTATTACTTCGAA